AAAAGAACAAATTATTAACAATTTTCAATTCATCATTAGGGTGGTTTATAGAATCATAAAAAAGAAGGGTTTATGTGCGTTGAGGCCTCAAACATTTAGTTCTATCATAGGCCAATATTATTGCAAATCACAAACTATGTTGGTTCACAATAGAGGAATTCAAGCCCAACAGAAAAAAGCCTCATACATGTTTCAAAAAATCAGAATTTGTATCATTGGCCTAAGAGATGTGTTACTTTTTGCAAATCACAAAAGTGGATTTCTTGGTTCACAAAAAGCAAAAAATATCAAGGGAAAAAATCAGAACTAAGCATCATGTTTTCACGCAAAAAAAAAAAACCAGCAAAGCCTCATGTGATTTCATATCAAACGAAAACTCAAAATTCGTAAAGTCAAATCATGGGCCAAAGTAATTATGCTACAAATCTCAAACAAAATATATATAAAGAAATATGTTTGGTTCGCAGCATCACAGAAAAACCAGCAAAAGTACATCAACAAAGTACATTGTACAAAGTTCAAAAGTCAGCAAGCAATTGCAGCCCCAAAAGCAAGCAAAAGCAAAGTCACAAATCCAACAAGCAACCAGTACAAAAAAGCCAGCAAAAGTACAGCAAATACAAAATCCACCAGCCAGCAACAAGTAACCAAGTACCAAAAGCAATGTCAGAAGCAATACAATGAATTTGACTTGTCAAAAGTCAGAAAAAGTAACAATTCTAAACCAAAGCCATGCCCTCAAGTCAGCACCAAGCTTGTACAAAAAAACAAGCAAGCAAAACCAGTATAAAAACAATAACACTATTTTCAAAAGAGGATACGAGTTCACAATAAGAGAGAGGTCGATTCACAAAAAATACACAAACATACAGAGGTCGAAACCTCAACATCATCTTCCACCTTCTTGTTTCACAAAAATATACAAATATATACAGAACAAAACAGAACAACACAAATATATACATAGATACAGATACGCAAAACCAACAAAAGAGCCACCATCAAACCCCTCAAATCATTTTCAAACCGAATTCGCAAGCAAGTACGCAGAAGAAAACAACAACATTAAAACCCAAACAGTTCTTCTCACATCATTTTCGTAAAAAAATGACCCTTCAAAGTTTATAGAAGAGAAAGAAAAGGAATGATCTCACTAAGATAACACCGTTACCGTCGAATCCAACCCTAAGGTTTCATTTTCCCCCTTTTAAATCTACGCAAAAATATGCACCATCTGCAAAAACCAACACAAGATTAGCATTCAGAAGAGCAAGCCGAACCAAACCATGTAAAAAAATTAGGTTTGGAACATCGCCGCCGTTGCCGCCGCTATGAGGCAATTTCCAGCGCAGTGTGTAACACCTCATATAGGCCTCGGTGTAACATGCGGTGCAACCACTCCTCGCCCTTTTTCGGCCTCGAGTGTTACACGGTGGCATCTACTTCTTCGATGAGGAAGAGGGACAGAGAGAACGAGAGAACTAAAATAAGAGAGAGAGAGAGAGAGAGAGAGAGAGAGAGAGAGAGAGAGAGAGAGAGAGAGAGAGAGAGAGAGGGTTTTGCTGTCAAATGAGACATTGTCTCACTTTTTTTCTTTGTTTTGTTTTAAAACAAACAATCAGGCCCATAACAACGCAAACCTTTAAGCCCAACTCCTTTTTCCGTGCGCACCCCCCCACATTGCTATTCACCGCCAATTTCGCTAGGCCTCCCTCAAACTGTTTTAAGTAAGCCTAATTGCCTTTTAGTCAGACACACCTCATTTCGTTTGTTTTAGCACATGCCCAAATGTTTTTTTATAATATTTTTACTTCTTTTGTTGTTTACAAAAAAGCTGCTAATGGGCCAACCACAAAAAAAAACCTTTTATATCAAAAAACACTCCAAATCTGTTTTCTTACCCCCTGACTTTTACCTTTCATATTTTTATTTTATTTTACTTTTTTATATATTTATATTATTATTAATATTACTATAATTACTTTAATTAATAAAGAAGACAAAAAAAATTATTTATTATTTATAGGGTTAATACCTATTTTCACCCCTGACATATGGGGTGTATTTGAAAAACCCCCCTGCCAAAAAAAAAGTTTCAATTGTTACCTTGACAAATTTTAAAAGTTTCAGTTTTTACCTTGAGGATGCCACATCACCTAAAAGGCTGATGTGGCTTATATTTTTGTTACATTTGTAAGTTTTTGTTATGCCATGTCACACAATACCAAATAAAATGTCCAGAATGCCCTTTTCTTAAAATCCCAAATTATTTGGCAAATGTTATGTTTCAATTCAGACCCTCCAAATTAGGGCGCAGCCATCCATCTTCATTTGTTTGCAAAATTATTTTACAAAAAAAGCCAATTTCAATTCAGACCCTGCGGTTAGGGTTCTTCATCCTTGCAAATGGGTGTGTTTAATTTAGTGTTTCATCATGGGGGAAGTTTCGTGCAAGACGGCCATACGTATTATAGAGGAGGTAGTGAGACTACTGTTGAAGGTCAGGACGAAGATAAATGGAGCTTTTTTGAAGCTGTTAGTTTGGTTAAAGATTGGGGTTATGAAGGTTTTAGGCTATGGAGAAAGATTCCGCAAACGGATGAAGGGTTTACAAATGTTATTGATGATGCAGGAGCTGTAGAAGTTGCTAAGAATTGTATGTCTTGTAGGGTTCACGGCGATCTTTGGGTAGAGCACGGTGTAGAAGACATGATGACCAAGGTTCTGGTACCTAATGTTGATGACTTCAGCACCTCTAGTGGAGATGATAGTACTGGTGACTATGTTGATGCAAGCCAATGTTTCAATGACAGTGAAGAGGAAAGAGTAATTGACGTAGAAGAAGAGCAATTTGAACAAGTGGAGGTAGCTGTTCCAGTTAGTGGGAATAGGGTGGAGATCGAAGGGAAATCATTGAGATTCAAGCGTTGTGCATCCAAGGATCCCAAAAAGATGAAAGAAAAGAGCAAAAGGGACAAGGTCAGTGTTTTGGTGCCCAAAAGTGTCTTAGGATCTTGTTCAAAGAGGGCTACAAGGAAATGTGAAGATGTGGATTATGCTAGTGAGGAACTTGAAAGTTCAGATGCTGATGAAAGTGACATGGATGACAAACCTTCCAAGCCAAAGTATGAGAAGTTCAGATCAGAGCTGCTTAACAAAGGCTTTCAATTCAAATTAGGTATGGAGTTCATTTCTCTTTCTGAATTTAAAGATGCTATCAGGGATTGGTCAGTATTAAATGGTAGAGAAATAAGGTTTGTTAAGAATGAGAGCTGTAGGGTTAGGGTTGAGTGTAAGAGTAAATGTGGGTTTTTGGCATTGTGTAGCAAAGTGGGAGGTAGCCTCACTTACCAGATAAAGACTTGGGTGGGGACCCACACATGTGCAAGGGTATTAAATAACAAGTCTGCCAATTCCAAGTGGGTCTCTAAGTTAGTGGTTGAAAAGAGGAAGTCACAAGGGAAAGTTAAACTGTCTGAAATTATGTCTGAGCTTAGACGGAAATATTCAGTGGGCATTACCAAAGGGAAAGCTTGGAGAGCCAAAGATATGGCTGAAGAAATAATTGAAGGTGATGCAAAGGAACAGTATAACATGTTATGGAGATATGCAGCTGAGTTGAGAAAACATTATGCTGGGAACACTGTCAAACTAAATACTGAGAGACCACATCCAACACTACCACTAAGATTTGGTAGATTTTACTTCTGTTTTGATGGATGCAAGAAAGGGTTTACCAAGGGTTGTAGACCATTTATAGGGGTAGATGGGTGTCATCTTAAGACACAATATGGAGGTCAGTTGTTAATTACTGTAGCAAGGGACCCGAATGACCAATATTATCCTTTGGCATTTGGTGTGGTGGAGACTGAGATAAAAGAAAGCTGGAGATGGTTTATGCAATTGCTAATGGAAGACATTGGAGAAGAGAGAAAGTATGTTTTTATTTCAGACCAACAAAAGGTACAAATATGCACTAATTACCTTTGTTATTCACATTTATGAAACATGCACTAATTCTGCACTAATATGCACTAATATGCACTAATTCAGCTACTGTAGTATGTCTTAATTCTGGTACTGAAGTATGTCTAATTCTGCACTAATATGCACTATTACCTTTGTGACATAGTTCTGGTTTACACAAAGTGCACTAATTCTGGTTTATTTGCATAGTTCTGGTTTAATTGCATATTTCTGGTTTATTTCCCTATATCACTACTTAATTCTGGTACTGAAGTTCTTCATGAAATATCTTACCTTTGTGCCATAGTTCTAGTTTATACAAAGTGCACTAATTCTGTATGCACTAATTCTGTATGCATTAATTCTGTATGCATTAATTCTGGTTTATACAAAGTACACTAATTCTGTATGCACTAATTCTGTATGCATTAATTCTGTATGCATTAATTCTGGTTTATACAAAGTGCACTAATTTTGTATGCACTAATTCTGTATGCACTAATCCTGTATGCATTAATTCTGGTACTGGAGTATGCACTAATTCTGGTACTGAAGTATGCATTAATTCTGTACCATAGAACTGAAGTATTAATTATGTACCATAGAACTGTAGCATTAATTCTGGTGCTAATGTTCAACATTTATCAGAACCTGCTGCTAATGTTACATGCCTTGTTCTGTTGCTAATGTTCAACATTTATGAGGAATATATAAGTTGCTAATGTACATGCTTTTTTCTGTTGTCTTACTGTTTTTAGGGACTTGTTAGTGTCTTTGATGAAATGCATCAGCAAGTTGAACACAGGGTCTGCCTCAGACACCTGTATGCAAATTTCAAGAAGAAATTTGGAGGGGGAGCTGCCATTAGAGACCTGTTATTGGAGGCTGCAAAGGCTACTTACTTCCAGGCTTGGGAGAAGAAGATGAATCAGCTTAAACAAATTGATAAGAAGGCATGGGAATGACTGATGGGAGTGCCAACAAAACTATGGTGTAAGCATTCATTTTCATTTTACCCTAAGTGTGATGTTTTGATGAATAACTTGAGTGAATCTTTCAATAGTACAATATTACAAGCTAGGGATAAGCCAATACTCACTATGGTAGAATGGATTAGGAACTACGTGATGAATAGGATTGCTAATAGTGTTGTTAAGCTTGATAAGTGGAAGCACAATGTCATGCCTAATCCTAGGAAAAGGCTTGATAAGGAAACATATCTTAGTGGAGAATGGCTGCCTACATGGAGCAGTGGTGATTTGTGGCAAGTCCATCACCCATATAATGGATTGCAGTTTGTTGTTGATATTCGGGAAAAAACCTGTACTTGTTGTTTTTGGGATCTTGTGGGCATACCTTGTAGGCATGTTGTTTCTGCATTACAGTATCAAAACTTAGATCCTGAGAAATATGTTGACCCTTGTTACATGAGAGAAGCTTACAGGGCATGTTATGAAAACAATGTTAGTCCAATAAATGGCATGGACATGTGGCCAACTGTGGATGCTGAAGAATTGTTGCCACCACAATACAAGAAGGGACCTGGAAGGCCTAAGAAACTGAGGTTTAGAGAGTTGGATGAGAATGGTTCAAGGATGAGGAGGGTAGGTGTAGCATATAGATGCACGCATTGTGACAAATTTGGCCATAATTCTAGGAAGTGTCAAGCTAAGGAGCAAGATCCTAATGCACTAAAGAGAAAGGTATTGTGTTCATGAATCTGTTATTGAATAATATTGTGTTCAGCATATTGAAATGTCTTTATTTATATCTGTTTCTGAATAATGCAGAGAAAGACACCCAGGACCAAAGTGTCAAAAAAATCTGATGGGACTGTGGATGAAGGCCCAGAGATGGATGCAAATGTTGATACAACTGCAACTGGAGGTGGAACTGTGGATGAAGACCCAGAGATGGATGCAAATGTTGATACAACTGCAACTGGAGGTGGAACTGTGGATGAAGACCCAGAGATGGATGCAAATGTTGATACAACTGCAATTGGAGGTGGAACTGTGGATGAAGGCCCAGAGATGGATGCAAATGTTGATACAACTGAAATTGGAGGTGGAACTATGGATGAAGGCCCAGAGATGGATGCATTGCTGAATAATATGATGGATCTTTATGAAGAACAACAATCACAAGTTGACAATCCCACACAACCTACTGCTATGCAACCTCCCCCAACACATGAATCACAACCTGCTGCAATGCAACCTCCCCCAACACATGATTCACAACCTGCTGCAATGCAACCTGACCCTGCTGCTACTAATGTCAAAAAACCTTCAGCTAGGAAAACGGCCGTGGCCGTGCCTTGGAAGCGATCAAGAAAGAGAGTCAGTGAAAGATTGAAGGAAGTGAGGAATGCCAAAAGACATGGTGGGCCTGGATCAACACCTGATGCACCTTTGACCATAGGTGAAGAAACTGGTGGTAGTACCTCAAAGAAGATATCAAGGAAGAAGAGGAAGGGCATTGATCAGTAGTTGTGCACATAGTGTGCTATTTTGTAAAATTCAATTTGAAAGTTTCCTGTGTCATTTTGTTACTTTGACTTATTATCAGAACAAGCTTGGCTTAAGTTATGTATCATGTTATTGTCATTTTGTATCACATATGTACTTGACTATGTATCACAACAGATTTGCTTGACAATGTTAAAGTCATTTTGTATCACAGATGTACTTGACTATGTATCACAACAGATTTGCTTAACAATGTTAAAGTCATTTTGTACAACAGATTTGCTTGACTATGTATCACAATAGATTTGCTTAACAATGTTAAAGTCATTTTGTACAACAGATTTGCTTGACTATGTATCACAACAAATTTGCTTAACAATGTTAAAGTCATTTTGTACAACAGATTTGCTTGACTATGTATCACAACAGATTGGTTTAACTATGTTATTGTCATTTTGTACAACATATTTGCTTAAGAACAGAATTACTTAACAACAGATTTGCTTAACAACAGATTTTGTACAACAGAATTACTCAACAGAATTGCTTAAGAACAGATTTCCAAAATATCAGAATAGATTTCCAAAATATTCCAAAACAGTTTTACTTAACAATATATCAGAACAGACTTAAGCAAATATATTCCATAAGAAACCATAAGAAAGAAATATATTCCATATTCCATAACTCAACTAACCAAAACTCATGAGAGTAATATATTCCATATTCCATAACAAAGAAATATAATTCATGAACTAAATTTTACATAGGTTACAACTTCCTAGAACATAAGCCACAACTTCATGAATTTTTACATGAACTAAGTAAGAAATGAACCAAAAGACAAATAAACCCAACTAAAACATAATTCAGCTTCTTTTTTAACTCATCCATTTTTTTCTCCATGGCTTCCATCTTCAGTGCGATATCTCTCTCCAGTTTGCTCATCAGTTCTACTGAAACTTCATCCGAATGGCCGTTATCACCGAAATCATCAGAAAATTCATCATCCCAAACAAATGCGTTGCAGTCATCTCCTTTACCCCAGAACTTACACTTCCAGTATTTTCTCCCGGGATTTGCAACCGATTTTGAAACAAATAACTTCATGGAGACATTGTGGCCGCATTTGGGAGTTACTCTACCATTTGAAGATAAGCTTGAAGTAGAAAAATTTGGTTGACTCATGTTTATGAAATCAAAGAAAACTTAAAGATGAAGAGGAAAGCAAAAGTTGGGTTGCTGAGATGAAGATGGCTGCGCCCTAATTTGGAGGGTCTGAATTGAAACATAGCATTTGCCAAATAATTTGGGATTTTAAGAAAAATGTAGAAAGGGAATTCTGGACATTTTATTTGGTATTGTGTGACATGGCATAACAAAAACTTACAAATGTAACAAAAATATAAGCCACATCAGCCTTTTAGGTGATGTGGCATCCTCAAGGTAAAAACTGAAACTTTTAAAATTTGTCAAGGTAACAATTGGAACTTTTTTTTTGGCAGGGGGGTTTTTCAAATACACCCCATATACCATGCTGGGGCAGTCACCTCCTCCTTACATCAGATGTTGAAGTATCCTGTCAAGGGAAAGATCATTACCGTCCATGGTGAAGAGGAGTACATGATCAGCCACTTGAACTCCTTCCGATATGTGGAGGTAGAGGGGGAGTTCATTGAGACGCCTTTCCAGCATTTCGAAGAAGTCCTTCCTGAAATAACAGTAGTAAAGTTGGCAGCTGAAGTACCGAGGCAGATGGCCAGGATGGCATCTCTGGAGGACGCAAAGGCCGCAATAAAGGAGGGGAAGAATTCAGCATGGGGGAAATTTCCTGATATTCCACATAAAACAGACAAATTTGGATTAGGGTTCACTACCGCGGGCCAGAAAGCTATGCGCCGCTCGAAGATTGAAAGAGCGCCAGTCAAAATTTCTCCCTACGTAATCAATGCTTTGGAGGATGACGACAAAGAGAGTAACATCGAAGAGTGGATTTACCTAACTGTCAAAGGAGGATTGTGCAACTGGGAGGCAAAGGACTTTGTCCCCATCACTTTTATTCATCAGTAATTTATCTATCAAACATTTCCTTTTTGGTCTGTAATATTTATTTTCGAACAATCCGTACACTATCTTTTCACCTCATGCCTTGCCCGGGGCATGTAGGTCCATTTGTAAGGGTTTTGATTATTTTTCATATCCATATGCCATGTTTAATGATTCATTGGACGTTTTTCATTTGATAAACTGCTTGTGTTCATTTTCTTTCCTTTTGCATTTTTTGTTTAAGGATGGCTATCCCTTACACACACCCACACTCACAAATGCAGGTACCCATCCACTCCGGATTCCATGGGTGACTATTCTGCTATATCCTGCAATAACTCTGAATATCTGGTCAATCAAGCCGAGTATGAAGATGACGAAGGTTGTGAAGTACCAGGGGAACTAGCCAGACTTCTACAGCAAGAGGAAAGGGCCATCTTACCGCACGAAGAGTCATTGGAAACTGTCAACTTAGGGACCGAGGAAGACCGAAAGGAGGTGCAAGTGGGTGCCAATCTGGAACCAAGTGTCAAGGAACGCCTGATACAGTTGTTGAATGAGTATGTTGAAATCTTCGCTTGGTCTTATGAAGACATGTCGGGTTTAGACACAGACATCGTGGTTCACCGTCTCCCCACAAGAGAGGATTGCCCACCGATCAAGCAAAAAGTCCGCCGAATGAGGCCTGACATGTCTGAAAAGATCAAAGCAGAAGTGATGAAGCAATTCGATGCTGGATTTCTGGCTGTTACGTCCTATCCTCAATGGGTCGCTAACATCGTGCCAATACCTAAGAAAGATGGCAAAGTCAGGATGTGTGTGGACTACCGAGATTTGAATAGGGCCAGCCCCAAAGATGATTTTCCACTTCCACACATTGACATTTTAATCGACAATACAGCTCAGCACAAAGTGTTTTCCTTCATGGATGGATTCTTGGGCTACAATCAAATCAAAATGGCCCCCGAGGATATGGAGAAAAGAACTTTTGTCACACAATGGGGCACTTTCTGTTACAAGGTGATGTCGTTCGGACTGAAAAACGCTGGGGCAACTTATCAACGCGCCATGGTAGCTTTGTTTCATGATATGATACATCATGAGATTGAAGTTTACGTAGACGATATGATAGCTCGGTCACAAACAGAGGAGGAGCACCTTGAACATCTAGAAAAGCTGTTTGCCAGGTTGAAAGAATACAAACTCAGGCTGAATCCAAGTAAGTGCACTTTTGGAGTTAGGTCTGGTAAACTTCTAGGATTCATTATAAGCAACAAAGGCATTGAAGTCGATCCAGCAAAAGTGAAAGAAATACAAGAGATGCCTGCTCCCCGTACTGAAAAGGAGGTTAGAGGGTTCTTGGGGCGCTTGAACTATATTGCCAGATTCATCTCTCATCTGACTTCTACCTGTGAGCCAATTTTCAAACTCTTGAAGAAAGATCAGGTAGTCGAATGGAACGACGATTGCCAAGCTGCTTTCGATAAGATCAAGGAGTATTTGCTAGAACCTCCTATTCTGATGCCACCCGTTGAAGGAAGACCATTGATCATGTATCTGACCGTCTTGGATAACTCAATGGGGTGTGTTTTGGGCCAGCATGACGAGTCTGGTCGAAAAGAGCATGTTATTTATTACCTTAGCAAAAAGTTTACCGACTGTGAGACTCGCTACTCACTGCTCGAGAAAACTTGCTGCGCTTTGGTATGGGCTGCTTGCCGACTAAGACAGTATATGTTGACTCATACTACCTTGTTGATTTCCAAAATGGATCCTATCAAGTATATCTTCGAAAAGCTCGCTTTATCTGGAAGAATAGCCAGATGGCAAATGATCCTAACTGAGTATGACATCCAGTACACCACCCAAAAAGCTATAAAAGGGAGTGTACTAGCTGACCATCTGGCTCATCAAGCTATCGAAGATTATCAACCCATGAGATTAGACTTCCCAGACGAGGACATCATGAATTTGGACAGCATTGAAAGTGACGGACCGTATGACGGACCCGAAAAGGGATCTCGATGGACCCTGTACTTTGATGGTGCTTCAAATGCACTTGGAAACGGTATCGGCGCAGTACTCATTTCTCCGGAAGGCTGTCACACACCTTTCACGGCCCGACTTTGCTTCAGCTGCACAAACAACATGGCTGAATATGAAGCTTGCATCTTTGGTCTCAAGGCTGCTATAGACTTGGGGATCAAATCTTTGATCGTATTTGGGGACTCGGCTTTGGTTATCAGTCAAATCAAAGGAGAGTGGGATACCAAGCATCCTAATCTTATCCCGTACAAAGAACATGTCTTGACATTATTGCCTCATTTCGAGCAAATTACCTTCGAGCATTTCCCGCGAGAAGAGAATCAGCTAGCAGATGCTCTAGCTACAATGTCCTCCATGTTTAAACTCAACTGGGATAACGAGGCTCCCCAAATCACCATCGAGCGAATGGATGAACCTGCACATTGTCACAAGATTAATACCGAAGAAGTAGTGGAACAACCTTGGTTCCATGAAATCAAAAGGTATCTCGAGACTATAGATTATCCTGAAGGAGCTTCCGTAAATGACAAGAAGTTCTTAAGGAAATTCGCGGATAAATTCTTCCTGAGCAACGACATCCTTTACAAACGAAGCCATGATTGTGTATTACTCTGATGCGTAGATGTTGCACCCCAAAATTTGCCCTCCCATATTCTCCAAGAAATTGCCAAGCCAAGCTGCAAAATTCCCCAAGGGTTGCACAGTCCAACAGTCTCTCATACAGTCAAAACTAGGGTTTGTGTTCTGATCAAGAAAATGAAGTTTTCAAAGGCCCAATCAAGTCTCACATGCCTACAAATATGGTCAAGTATCCTCATATCAAGTTTCAAGGCATTCAGCTCAAAATTTCACAGTCAAAACCCTAAATTGCACTACAGTCAATTGTAGGGGCAAAATGGTCATTTGACAGTCAAAAGTTCAAATTTTTG